TCACCCGCGCCCGCGGTGCCCACAACATGGCTGCGGCGCCGGGGCTGCTCCCCTGGCTGCTCTTGCTCGGACCGCTTTGGTGGGTCCCGGGCCAGCCGGATCCCAGCCCCGGCCGGCGCTTCTCGGACCTCAAAGTGTGCGCGGACGAGGAGTGCAGCAGTGAGTGTGGGGTGGCTGGGCGGGAGGCGCTTTCCCGGGTGGCGGCGACGGCCGAGCGGGTCGGAGTCCCGCAGCTCGCACCTAGCCTAGGGGGTCTCAGGCCCACGAACCCATGCCGGGACGCTCTGCTCGGCGATGGCCCTGGTGGCCCTTGCGTGGGGGCTGCGCCTGCCACTTGTTGCCGGGTTTTGCTCTGTGCTGCTCTGACCAGGCTGCGGGGCGCCTCATCCCCAACCGGGTTTCCTGGGGTCAGCTCACTGCTTCCCGGTCCCCGATCTCCACCTGGGCTCCCCGAGTGATGGGGTGGTGAGCCCCCGCATCCTGGGCGCCCCATTCTGCAGGCAAGAGCGTCCCTACACCGGCCCGGGGACCTGATTCCACGTAAGACCGAGACCCACGCGCTTAGGGACCTGGGGCGCAATCCTAGTGGCTGATTGATGGCGGGGCTCCTCCAGAAGGCACCCCGGTGTTGCCTCTTCTACCTCTTGGCTGCTTTGGGACCAACTCGCATCACCTTTGGAACCGGAGGAACTGGGGTTTAGGTTTGGGATGAACCCAAGGCCAAGAACGCAGTGTATTCCGAGGTCTCCCTGGTTCTCTGCCTCAGTCGTGTCTCTCTTTTGCACAGAAGCTTCTTGCCAGTGCTAAGTAGGGCTGTGGGAAGGTCAAAATTTTTTGCTCTTAAAGAGGCCAGGAAGCTGCACCTGTCACCACCTAAGAGCTGCAGCCTTCTCTATGCGCAGTCGTGCCCTGGTCCTGGGTAGGAGGTGGGCCACAGGGAAGGTTAGAATTAGAAGAGAGCTATTGCTGTAATGGTGAAAAATAAATATCCAAGAGTCTCAGGAGTCAGTCCAGCTTTTTCCTTAGTCCCTTTTGTTGCTGGGACCCAGTCCTGTCCAGAATAATTCACAAGGTTTCCAGGTTGGTCTCCAACAACTGTGTAACTATGTCCTTCATAAATCACAAGCAGTACGTATAGAATATGATTCCTCCTAAAAGACTAAGATTACATGTTAGCCATTTATGCTTTAATTGGTTTTACGAAAAAAAACAAATTTCATCATTTGAATGGTTTGCACCAATATCACTAAAGACAAAGAAAGAGGATACTTGTAATTTATATCACCTAGATTCTAGGTGCTAGAGGTATCCCTGGGCCAATGTAAATAAACACTGCAAATAAAATAAAGGTGGACCCACCATTATGAATTTTCCCTTTCATTTTTCTATTAACAAATCAGTTATCGCCATTTTGCTGTTGAATATTGCCCCGTGTTTTCTGTTCTTTGCTGTCAAACATTGTCTCACCTGAGTCCCTCAAAACTCGAGAGGACAGTATCACTGGTGCTGCTTCAGAAAGAACTGAGACTTGTGGCTGGAGAGGTCCGGGCTGTAATATAACTTGAGAAGTGGCCCATGTCCAAACAAATGTAACCAAACACAAGAGGTAATGATAGAAGAAGCAGAGCCCAGGCCTGTGCTGCCTGGTAGGAAGTGCTTCATGGTGGGACTGTGTCAGGTGTCACGAAAGGTGTGATGCAGTGTGCATGCCATTCATAGATAATAAGCAACATATAAAGACAGAGGCTGTCCTTGATATATTACTATACATCCCCAAGAGTCTAAGGAGGAAACCAGAAACAGTGCCTTCCTTTTCCAATTTGAGAAGAATCTCAGCCTTAGGTTCCTTCAGTCCGACATCTTGCTCAGTCCCATCTGAAACAGGATGTTGCTATATGTGAAAATGGTCTTATTTTAGCTTCACAAACCAAGTTGCACCCTCCAGATCTGTATGCTTGTCCCTTGAATATGTATTTTTTTAAGCATGTTTGTGTACTATTGCTAATTGGCTTTTAGACAAAGTGCAATTTCCATCACTTTCATGTCTCTGCCTTTTAATGCACAGTTAATTTCATTTGACAAGATACTGCTTCTGGGCTGGAGAGATGCCTAAGGGGTTGAGCACTGGCCGTTCTTTCAGAAGACCCTGGTTCAATTCCCAGCACCCACATGGCAGCTCACAAATGTCTGTAACTCCAGTTCTAGGGGCTCCAACAGCCTCACACAGACATACATGCAAGCAAAATACCAGTGCGCATAAAAGTAAATGAATCTTAAAAAACATACTGCGTCTATTGGTGTGATTGAAGTTCTGTATTTATGTTTGTTTATTTGAGGCAGGGTCTCACTATGTAGCCCTGGTTGGCCTGGAACTCGCAGAGATCTGCCTGACTCTTCCTCTTCAGGGCTGGGATTAAATGCATCTGCCACCATGCCTGACCATAGTTCTGCATTTTAAGTGAGAGAAAAACTTCTGACCTAGTCTCATAGTTTTGTCTGGCCCCTGACAAATGAGATATCCATCTTGGATTTTGTTTTTAGGAAAAATTGTTTTGAAAGCTTTTTTAGATTTGCTAGTGTGTGTGTGTGTGTGTGCGCGCGCGCGCACGCAAAACTGGGGAACCGAACCTAGGACCTGTCTATAGTCTATACAATGCAAACGTTCTACTATTGAGCTACATCTTCGGGCCTCTTTATACTAAGTTACCTAGGCTGGGCATTGAACTCCCTCTCTTCCTCAGTCAGGCCTTGAGTTTATGATCCTCCTACCTCAGCCTCCCGAATACTGGAATTACAGGTCAACACTACCAGGCCTGGCTAGAAACCTTCTTAATGCTGACACATCAACGTTATTTGCTCAGAAAACACTGCCTTGTGATTGATTGGATTCCTGATAGTGTGTGATAATGCACCTTCCTGTTAATTCATCCAGACACTGTGCAGAGACAACTTAGCCACAAATGAAACGGACAGTTGTTTACTGCTGCACAGGGGCCGTTGCAGCCTTTTGCAGGTAGTGCCTGTTAGTGGTTGGTTTGAGTTAATTGACCCCTTGAGGGTTCCTAGGCGTTCTTTCTGGCTCCCTGCTATCCCCACAGTTAGCTATGTTTAAACCAGTCAGCACCTGCACCTGCATTTACACATCCACAAAATGAGGCCTTTTATGATGATGAAACGGCAGAAGGGGATGGGGGGGGGGGCGCTAGAAGATTAGAGAGGGAAACAAAGAGTTGACCTGAGAGCAGCGGTCTGTGGTGTCCGATGCGTTGTCTTTGGTTTCTCAGACAACCAGAGAGAAAAGTAGAAACATTCCCTCATCTGATTATAGCAGGTGATGGGACTTAGAGCCGTGAGGCTCTAGGGATTTCAGACTCCTGGAAAATGTGAATTGAAATCCATTCCAGCAGAGTACTGGGAAGGCTTGATTGTTGTCTGCAATGGGATTCGTGTATTTCCCGAAAACTCTCTAAGAGCTGATAAGGCTTGCCTCACACACACAAACCCCGGCTTTGAGATCCAGCATGTGCCAGCAGCAATCCCAGTGAAGAGAGGTGAAGGCAGGAGGATCAGGAGTTCTGGGCCATCCTTGGCTCCCAAAAAAGTGTAAGGCCAGCTTGGAATACAAGCAATCCTGTATTTTTTTTTTATTGTGTATGGAAGGCTGTGGGAAGTCAAATCCTAATGTTGTCTTGTTTTGTTCTTTTTTTTCTGAACACAGTGTTAATGTACCGCGCTGAAGCCCTCGGAGACTTCACAGGCCCTGACTGTCGTTTTGTGAACTTTAAGAAAGGCGACCATGTGCATGTTTACTACAAACTTGCAGGGGGATCCCCGGAAGTTTGGGCTGGGAGTGTAAGTAGAACCATGAAAACCTTTATTTCCTTATTTTTGTTGAGGTTTGTAGTACTGCAGATTTAAATGCTGTTGATATTGTCTTTCCTAGACTGTAAACAGAAGGCAGCCCTATGGTCCTAGCAAGCCTCAGGCCTGGCACACAGTAGGGGCGAGACAGTCCTATGGTGAGACAGCCCTATAGTCCTAGAAGGCCTCAGACCTGAAACACAATAGCAGCAGACAGAGGTTGCTGAAGCAGAACTGAACTGGTTCTGGCTGTTACCCCACAGTTATACACGAAGCTGTACATATAATTCAAGTCAAAATGGCCAAGACCTGAAAATCTTAAAAGTTAATTGCATCAAGAAAGAAGTATTTGTTATCATTAGACTTAATCTTAAAAGCAATATGGAAGATATCACTTAAGGGTTAAAGTTTGTACACCTTGGGCCAGGTGGTGGTGGCGCAAGCCTTTAATCTCAGCCCTTGGGAGGCAGAGGCAGGAGGATCTTTATGAGTTTAAGGCCAGCCTGGCCTTTAAGAGCTAGTTCCAGGACAGGCTCCAAAGCTACAGAAAATCCCTTTCTCCAAAAACCAAAAAAAGAAAAAAGAAAAAAAAAAGAAAAAAAAAGTTTGTATGCCTTTTCCCTGTTTAAAAAAAAAAAATCTTTCAAAATGTTGAAACAGGGTTAGGGAGATAGCTCAGCCAAGATCTGAGTCTGATCCCCAGAACCTACATTAAAAAGCCAAGCTTTTTGTGGGTGAGCTTTTAATGCCGCATCTGGGAGGTGCTGGACAGGTAGACCAGTAGGATGCCGAGGCTGCCCAACTTCACCTACTTGGAGAGTGAAAAATGCAAGGTGAAATGTGAGGGAGGGAGAGGCAAACAGACCTCTGTAATTTTAATGCCAGCTTGGTCTACATAGCCTGTTCCAGGCCAGCCTGGCCTATATAATGAAACCCTATCTCAAGACACAAACAAAAACCAAACCAAACCAAACTATAAGGTAGACAGCACTTGAGGAATGACAGTGAGTTTGTCCTCTGGCCTTCACACATATGCATCCCCATACATACTCAACTGTATGTGCGCTCGCGTGTGCACGCATGCACACACACATTGTACATATATAAACATGTACATACATGAACATAGACATATGCACATGTAGGCAGGCGCACACACAAAAGGAGAAATACTGTGCTCACTGTGGGTCTTCTTGTTTAGTTTGTAGCTTCTGAGGTATCTTTTTCTAGTTCTGCTTTGTGCCTAGAAGTTTCCCCTGGGATTCTGTTCCCGACATTCTTTGGGCCTCTTGGTATCAGACACGGCAGACAATGACCGAATCTGTCATGCTCTCGTATGTTTTAAGGAGACTCTCCAGCAGTGACTTGGCTGAGAAGCATGGGAGCTGCTTTTCCCTTTGAAGAGGGCTGATCCATGGAAGGCTGTTGACTAAAAGGCCTGTGATGTTCCGTGGGATTGTTCCGCCTTAGAAACAGCTCTACTCCCAACCGTGGAAAGTGTTTACTCTTGATCAAACACCAAATAACCAACACAGAATAAGGTTCTAGTAGCCCCCTAGGGAGAATTTTTTTTTCAGCTTCCTATGGGTGATTTTTTAAAGTATGGAGTGGTGGGGCATAGCCTTTTTATTTAGACAGCCTCCCAGCGGCATCACGGACATGAGGGAGAGTCTGTGCTGTTTTCTTGTGTCTCCCTAATGGGTGTCTTGATAGGCTTGACTCTGGAGCTGCTCCCCATATACCTATGCTCCATTTGTTTACACGGTAGTTACGAGATCCTTCTACCTTCCCCACCTCTGGGCTTTTGGATAGATCAGCCCGTTAGCATTTGCACCTCTAGATAGATGCTTCCTTCTGCATCACTGCTCTCACTCTGCTTTTTTTTTTTTCTTTACTGGCAGGCTCTCGGGTATCCAGGCTAGCCTTAAGCTTCTGATTCTCCTGCCTCTGCCTCCTCAGTGCTGTTGTGCTGTGTAATGCTTCAGATTAAACCAAGACTTTCTACATGATAGGCAAGGAGTCTACAGCCCAAGTCCCCACCTTACCCCCTTAAGAAACCCTGCTTCAGCATCCAGCCTGGTAATCTTGGCTGATAGATGTGTGTTGGGGTGGGACTCTGTTTGCCCTGCTCCTGTGACGTCATTTTACTGCTTCACTCGCCAGCCAGCTGGTGTCTCAGCTCACTATAAAGTCAGAAACCACGTGTCTTCTCTGCCTTTTTTTTGAGTATCCCCTTACAGGATACTATAGTGCTTAATTACATTTGCTCTCACAGTAGCTCAGGCAGAACCGACCCTCGTGAGGCAGAGTCTGTGTTCCCCACCCCCAAATCAAATCAGCAGTACTTTGGCAGGGACGGTACGCAGAAGCAAAATTAGACATAGGAATTACTTCTGTGAGAGCCTGTGATTCCACGAGACAGTAGATTCCAGGAGAGGGAAGCACCCGCATCTGATGGTGGAGCTTTATGTAAGCTGTAGCCTCAGTTGACAGATCAAGAAGGGACTTCCCCTTCCTTTTCACACATCTCTGACTCCTTCTCTTTTCTAGCCCAGCCTCTATAGCATTTGAGTCCTGCAGATAGGCAGCATGTATTTCTGCTCCCTCCCTTCTCATTTCATGAACCTCAACATTTGTAGAATTAGCTAATCTCCCTCGTCTTCAGAATGACTCGTTTTCATGTCTTAATTCCCATCTGACAGTCTCTTTTTGTTTCCTAGAGTTTCAGGGTTTCTGCCAGTCTTGTACTTTTAATGCTCCAGGTCTTATCTAATCTTTGGGGCTTTATTCTATTACTAACATGGCCTCCAGATGGTCTCCAGATAAACCAAGAACACCGGCAAATGGCGATATTTTAGACCCAGTGATAAGGTGGCTTTTCTTCTTCTCATGCCCCTGACTGGCCTATCAGTCCGTCTATCAGTCTGCTTTATTGGCTGGGAACAGGTCTTTGCTTCCTTTCGGGCTGTGGCTAGAGAAGGAGACTTCTCAGGTGGAGCTTTTATTCACTGTCGGCACACTTTATACATCTTAGTTATGTGCACTGGGAAAGACTGGGGTCATTTTTTGTAGATTCATTTCACATGAAACTGAAGCCTGAGAGGTAGGTAAGGATGCATTACATCATAATTTTATTTAATTCCCCCAGATACTTCTAAATACTGTTCTTGGAGAAAGCTACCATAGTATTTGGTATCAAGTGATATTGTTTGTTGTGGCGGTATACGTTTCAGAAGTCTCGTTTTCTTCTGCCTATTCCCATGGCTGCTGTGAACTGACTTAAGGGAGATTTGTAAGAAGCGGTTCATGAGCAATGCTATCAGGTGCTCATGTAAATTCTTGCCAGAGATCACTTGGAACCCTGTTTCTAGTTAGCTTTGGTTTGCCAAGTGTTGGCCATACAGTTTTCAGGAAGCTTCTCTTATATAGATCTCTAGCTACTTCTAACTGTAATGCTATGTGCTGATATATATTAAAAAAAAAAAAAACATGTCCACGGCTTGGAGAACTGTTGGTTTAATAATATTAATTTTCATTGGCACAATCATTGCAGGGTAATTTTAGCTCCTTTTTGTCTATATATTTCCTGTCACTCCTAGAACTCCCTCCTTTGATTTCTTATATAGAACTTAATTGGTATTTGTCCCTTCTGTCCATTTTTTTTTTCACACAGGTTGGGCAAATCTTTGGATATTTTCCAAAGGATTTGATCAAAGTTCTTCACAAATACACGGAAAAGGAGCTACATGTTCCAGCAGATGTAAGTTGTTCTCAGTTACAGATTGGTTTATATGTTCTTTGTAATCGATTAAAATTTTGGTGGTATTGGTAGTGCCAGCTGAAGACAGTTTTAGGCAAGACATTGCATTTCCCCTTACAGCTCTTAAAAGGTGCAGTGAACTCTTTGGAAAGTCAGCAAATGTGTTTTGGATGGGGAAAAAACAACCCGATGTTTGTGTATCAGATTTTCATTTGGAATCAGACTAAATGAGAGAGAAAAACATTTAAAAAGCATTTGGAGGAGTTATGCATTCTGATAATTGTTCAGTGTGTTAAGGTTGATGTTCTTATACGAGACTATAGACTGATAAGCAGGGCTTTTTCTGGTTTTTTTTCTGTTTTTTTGTTTTTTTTTTTTTGCATGTGGAATTTAAGAACTTAATACATTAGCCAAGTGTAATGATACTCAATTACTCACTTATAATTCTAGTATTTGGGAGGTAGAGAGAGATTGATCAGGAGTTCAAGGCCAGTCTGAACTATTCAAGGCCTCGTCTCAAAAAAACCAAAAAAAAAAAAAAAGAAGAAAAATATTTTTGTACTTAGTTATCAAAGAAGTAAATAATTTTATTTTACACGCAAAAAGAGGTGTCCTGCTTTGAAAATTACTCACTGGGTAATAAACATTTTAAATACATAGAAATCAGGTTCAATTACTCAGACTCTAAATTGCGTGTGGACCTATTCATACTAAGGCTTTTTTCCTGACTCCAGTGATTAAATACTTAAGTCACAGACTGGGAAAAGCACTGCTAAGGATCTAGCTCTCGCTCTACAGAGCGTTCATTCATGGCGCACAGCTTGCAGTGGTCTTGGGTCTAAAATGATTTTTTGTTCTAGAATCCTCATTCCCAGTTATTCCCACTCATCCCCATCACACCCATTTCTTTGGGAATAGTAGTCGCCCGAGTCACTTTGGGCGTCTCTTTCAAGTGGCCGCAGAGCAGGAAGCTGCTGATCGAGGGTAGTTCCTGGGTGGGGTGAGGCTGTAGTCAGTGCTGCAGAGCCATCCCGGGTCTTCACTGTCCTCGAGCTCAGGGAGCGTTATAGCATGGTCCCTGGTGGACTCCTCTTTTGACAAAGGCTGTGCAGGATGGGAGATGCTCATGGGGCCCGAGACCTCACCTGCTCTGAGTTCTCTTTCTCATCATCCTGCTCTTGACATTAAGAAGATGGCGCAGAAGTGTGTGTGATGAGAAAAGGAAGTTATTAGCCCCTCTGCAGTGGCCAGGCCTCGCCAGAGTACTGCGTGCGATTCCTCTGGTACCGGATTGCTTACTTGTGGGAAAAGGAAAGAATGCAGACTTATGAATAGTCTTAAAAGCAGATATCCATCACTGTTGAGAACTCTAACTTACAGAAAGGTTTATCTGCACTGAACCTTGTTTTCAAGTTGTTGTTCCACTAATAATGAAAGTGGAGATCCCCTCTGACACCGTTCTTCATCCCTTTAGAGCAGTGGTTCTCCACCTTCCTAATGCTGCGACCCTTTACAACAGCTCCTCATGCTGTGGTGACCCCCAACTATAAAATTCTTGTCATTGCTGCTTCATAACAGTAATTTTGCTACTGATATGAACTGTGATATAAATATCTGTGTTTTCTGATGGTCTTAGGTGACCCTTGTGAAAGGGTTGGTTGACCCTCAAATGGGTCGTGACCCACAGGTTGAGAAGCACTGCTTTAAATTTTTACTCTCTGTGCACCTATCTGCCATAAGATACATTTTAAATTGGTATTTCTAAGTCCAGGAAAATATGTTCCAAAAATTCATGCAGACTTAGAACACAACAGCCAGTTAATTCTGCCTGTTTCTAGCTGGCTGGGCAGAGAAGTACGGCGTAGGGGACTTAGAGTAGAGATACTGCATGGTGCTGCAGCTCCCCAGACAGTCCGTTACAAGTTGAGCATCCAGGTCATCAGACACAGACATTAGAAATGGGAAAACTCCATCCAGTCTCCCCACTTCCCTCCTCTGTTGTTACGTTAGTTACTTTTCTGATTGCCCTGGGGAAATACTTGGCAAATGCAACTTCAAGAAAGAAGCACTTGTTTTGGCTCACAGTTTGAGGGTAGAGCTCATCACTGCAGGGGAGTCTTGTCTGCAGGAGCGTGAGGCAGCCGCTCATCTTGGTTTTTGTTTTGTTTTTGTTTGTTATTGTTGTTGTTGTTTTTATTTTTTGTTTTTTTGTTTTTTCGAGAAAGTGTTTCTCTGTAGCTTTGGAGCCTCTCCTGGAACTAGCTCTTATAGACCAGGCAAACCTCGAACTCACATAGATCCGCCTGCCTCTGCCTCCCAAGTGCTGGGATTAATGGCGTACACCACCACCATCCAGCAAGGCAGCGCTCATCTTGTATTATGCTCCAGAAGCTAGGAGAGATGAAGTCTGATGTTGATCGCTTCCTTTTTCCGTATACATCCAGGACCTCAGCCCAGGAAACGGTGCTGCCCACATGCAAGGTGTGCTTTCCCTTGACAGTCCGGAAACTCTGACAGCCACGGCCAGAGGCTTGTCTCCTAAGCGGTTATAAACACTGCCAAGCTGACAGTGACACCCGTCAGCAAGTGTTCAGAACAAACTGAGAAACACAGAGTCGCGCAGAAGGAGGATAACATTCTCCGTTTGTTTACTCACTGTGCTTTTCAGAGAATATGACACAATTTTTGACAAATGCAGAAATAATTGCAGTGTAGAATAAGACAGATTTACCTCACCAGAACTGGCCAACTGGGAGCCTCCAACTGTCCCCCTAAAACTGACAGCATGGGGGAACAGATTATTTTCCAAACAGAAACCAGGAATGGAGCCAAGCAAGCTCACCAGCCACATGAGTCATTCGTCTCCCGAGGAAGGGAGAATGAAAGTGGCTTCCACCCTGATATCCCCGCACTAGCCCAACCCTGGTTCAAAGATATTCTGGAACCAGGCACAAACTCGGAGTTATCTCTGTCCCATGTATAAGTGCTCTTGGGACACTTGATTATTGAGATACTAATGTTTTTGTTTTTTTCCATACAGGAGACAGATTTTGTCTGCTTCGATAGTGGAAGAGATGATTTTGATAATTATAATGTAGAGGAACTTCTAGGGTTTTTGGAACTGGATGACTCTGTACCGGAAGAGTCTAAGAAAGCTGAAGAAGTTTCTCAGCAGGGAGTGAAATCTCCTGAAGGGGCTCAGGCCACTGAACTTGACCCCCAACCTGAGCCTGAGCTAGCCAAAGCTGACTCAGGGGAACAAGAAGGTGCATTCTCAGAGAGCACTGAGGAGCTGCAGGGACAGTCCCCAGCTCAGGAGAGCCACCCACATGCCACTAGTGCAGCGGATCACGCTCAGGGGGTGCAGTCTTCCTTGGACAATTTTGAGGAAATGCTGCACGATAAACTGAAAGTGTCAGGAAGTGAAAACAGAACCAGCAATAGTTCTCCTGTCCCCACGGAGCAGGAGAAGATAGATGCTTACAAAGTTCTGAAAACAGAAATGACTCTTGACTTGAAAACCAAGTTTGGCTCGACTGCCGACGCGCTGGTGTCTGACGACGAGGCCACCAGACTGGTCACTTCGCTAGAAGACGATTTCGATGAAGAACTGTATGCTGGCTATTACCTAATGGAGAATGAAGAAGAGGAGAATGCGGACAAGTATGATGAGCTACCGTTACTGTCCTTTGCAGATGAAGACGATGAGAGAGTCCCCGGGAAGCCTGTCATGGAGAAATATTCAACAGATAAGGACCCGAGTGAAGAGGATAAAGTTGACCCCACTCTGCCTCCTGGCATCCAAAAGGACAATAAAGATTTATTGACAAGCTTGGGGGATACTTTCTTCTCTATTGTCAAAGGAGGCGAAGGAAAAACAGGTGTGGTGGATTTAGAGCGTTCTAACCCGGTGGAAGACAAGGAGGATGCGCTGGTTTCAGGTAGCCATCAGAGGAAGCCACAGTCAGCAGCTGGCCATGTGGACCCTGAGGATGAAGAAGATGACCTCTTTGTAGAAGACTCCAAAATCAGTGGTGAGAAGAAGTCAGAAACAGAGCTTGTCCTTACAGCAGAAGAGAAGGTAACACAGGAATCCAGGAGAGGTCTGGCACACCAGGAGCCCGAGTCAGAGGTTGCAGAGTCGGACACGGTGGCTGCTTATCAACCCCAAAGTAGCAAGCTTGACCCTCTGCCAGCTGCTGAAAAGGGCAAAGAGTTTACATTAAAAGCTGTCTTTGAAAAAAAAGAAAATGGCCTTAAAGAACCAGTTATCCATATCTCAAAGGAAATGGTTCACGAAGAAGAGACCAGAGACGATATAGAGAGTGACTCGGTACACAGAGCTGTGGGGAGCCCAGAGACGGGAAATCATAGCAAACGTGAATCCTTGGATGCTGCGCCACTTTTAGGAGATAGCCAGTCTGGCGCATCCAAGGACAGAACGGAAGTCTCAGGCGCTTCCGCCAGTGAGCCAAAAGTGGGCCAGCGGGAGGGATTTCAGAATCAACCTAGATTCCCCTCTCCAGAGGAAACTGGTCTTTCGAGAGAACTGGGGGGGAAAGTTCCTACTCTGGGAAGAGATGAAGCTGTTGGAGAGAGCAGAGAAGACCCTGCAGCTGTAGAACCACCTCACCCCCAGGTCATACAGGGGACACAGGAGGCCGATAGCCCGGAAGTGCCCAGAGTCCAAACCCAAAGGTCGGAAGCAGAGGAGGACGACGATCCCCCTGAGGAGCTACTGGAGGATGAAAATGCTGTCAGTGCACGGCAGTCTAAAGAAAAGCACCCCAGCATTCACCACAGGAGGTCAGATATGAACTCTGAAGTTTTTGAAAAAGTAATTGTAGGAACCCTTAATCTTGACACTGAAGAAAGCAAACAAGCACCTAATATGATTTTGGAGGTTGGAAAAAACAGTGAAATTACATCGGAAGAGGCAGATGGTATGGGCGAGAACTCAGGCAGTGGGGTGGTGGGCCAGGAAGAAAGCCACCTGGCAGACGTGAAAGCTCAGGGGCCATCTGAAGCCCACAGCCCTCATGAGAAGATGGCAGCTCACACTCCAGGCTTTTGGGAAGCCATTCAGAGTCAGGATCCAAATGACCTACAAAACGACAACCCCAAGGAGCTAGTCAACACCTTGGGGCTTGTGGAGATTCCTGGGGGAGAAGAAATCTCAGAGGGGGAGCCTGAGGATCCTGAGGCGCTTGGAGGCTCAGAAAGCCAGGGGCCTGATGCTGAAGACCTTGGGGATGGCCCGCCCCAACAAGCTACACCTGAAATTCCTGACATAGTGCTCAAGAGCATACGGGAAGACCTGCCCATCATCAACAGCTTCTTCAAGGACCAGAAGTCCCTGTATCGCTTCCTGAAGTACTTTGATGTCCACGAGCTGGAGGGCATGCTACAAGATATGTCCATAAGGCTGAAGTCAGCACAGCGGGACAGTCTGCCCTACAACGCCGAAAAAGTCCTAGATAAAGTCTTCCGTGCCGCCGAGTCACGAATTCTAAGTGTGGCAGAGAATATGCTCGATACTCGAGAGAACAAAAATAGAGATCTGGGGACACAAGAGAACAGCCTGTTAGAAGAAGCTGCGGTGCTGGATGACGTCCAGGACCTGATCTACTTTGTCAGGTACCAACACTCCGGAGTGGAGACGGCCCCACTGGTCACACCTCCACCTCAGCAGGAAGGTGGCGCTGGACCAGTAGAAGGTAAAGGACCTGCCTATGACCCTGTGGAGTTAGGCTGGGGAAGCAGGAGCAGGGTGGTGGGGGTATACTGAAGTGCTCCATTTCCTGTGTGTAAAATTCTAGTCACACTTCCTGTGTGTGTAAAGGAGAGGGTCTAGACCTACAAGGCTTCCCCTTCCAGCTTCCTTTCAGACTGACCATGAATGCAGATGGTCTCACATTCCTCATATTTTTTTTTTCCGCTTCCATGGGAGAGCTGAAATTGGTTTTCATTTCCAAAAGGAAACTTTATAAAACTCTTAAATATATAACCAAGAAAATAATTCACAAAGTAAAACTCTCAACAAAGTATAGCTTTCATGGAAGGTTATAAAAGGGCTTTATTTAACACAGGTTCTTCATACAGCTATTTGTTAACACTGATGCATCTTTGTTCTTCCAGACAGATAAGTTTCAGCTTTCATGATATATCTATGTGATTTTATGTATCTATCTAAACCCTGAGATCCAGAAATGAGAGGAAATGTGATGTCTGTCTGTCCTTTGGAGACAGACTTATTTCACTTACTATGATGATTTCCGGTTGCATCCATTATCCTGAAAATGATATAATTTATTTTTTATGACAAAAAAGATTCTACCATGTGTATGTCCCACATTTTCTTTCTCTGTCCCTCTGTTGTCGGACACCCAGGTTGTCTCCATAACACAGTAGTTGTGACTAGGGTGATAGCAAGCATTGATCTGCAGTGTTTCTCCTGGTTACGTCATCTTGGAGTTCATTGGGTGAATACTCAGGAGTAGTGTAGCTGGTTCCTATGGTAGATTTGCTTTTAGTTTTTGGATTGCCACAGTAGCTGGATTAGTTTGCATACCTGCCGGCAACAAATGCAGGTTCATGTTTGCCACACTCTCACCAGCATTTGTTTTAATGACCACAGTTCTGACTGGGGTGAGGTAGATGCTCAGTGTAGTTTCATTTCTTTGGTGGCTGGTGAGGCTGGACATGTGGTTACTATCTAGCCTTCTGAGTTCTTTGTATAGTCTAGGTTGAATGTGTAGGGAGCAAATTTCTTCCTATTCTGTCATACTCCTTTACTTGATTGCTTCCTTTGCTGAGCAGAAGCTGTTTAATTTCATGAAATCCCATTTTCCACTTGTTGGCCTTATTTCCTGAGTGACTGGAATCCTTTTCAGAGCCCTTGCTATGCATGCATCTTGGACAGTTTCCTAACAATAACTCTGTTTTACTCAGGGATTGGCTAAAGCAGCTCGTTAACTGGATGCCTTGCGTGAGTTCCTTCACTCTGCGTGATTTTTATCTTTTGTGGGTGTCCTGCTGTTTCCTGCTTCTTAGGGACAGTGACTTACTCCACTTGTGCTTCACTGGGCCCCGGCTTCTTGTGTTAGGTTAATCAAGGCTGTAACGAGGTCGAGGGGCTTTCTAACAGCAATGGACAAATAGAAGCATGTATTTGTTGAACTGACCCCAGGATACCCTGCCATCAGCTCCTGATTCCTGGCTACACATTATGGTCTGGGTATCCATGCTTTGCAAACAGAAGTTGCTGTATTGTAGGCAAATGTAGTGGGCATAGAGTTACAGGAACATCTGTTTTCCCAGAGGTGCTAATTTTTCTGAGACCTGGGAGAAGTGAGCATTTTTTAAAAATGAAAGCTTTTGCTTAAGGATGGAAAATTCAGGTTGGAGATATGACTCTGCAGTTAAAAGCACTGGCTGCTCTGGCGGAGGAGCTGCATTCTGTTTTCAGCACCCACATGACAGCTCACAACCATTGTGCCTCCAGTTCTAGGGGATATTATGCCTTCTGGCCTCTGTGGGCCCTGCTTATACATGATACACATAGGTACATGCAGACAAAATACCCATACACGTAAAATAAGATAAATCTTCTTTTCAGTTTCTGATGGAAAATACGAGGCTGCAAAGAGGCACTCAGGCTCATAGGGAAGGAAATGGGCCCACTCTTTGTTGCTTAGCAATAGTTTGATAGGATTTGAAAGATACTTTGGCAAGCTACCCACGTGCAGCATGCCCTTATCTATATGAGCTCTGTGAACCCAGCCACCTGTGTATGAAGGAGGTTATGTTCTGTATGTGGTTCCTGTGTTCTGTGCTGGACTGCAATTATCTTCTGCATGTCTATGTGGGCACACGCTGGCTTGCCAAGGCAAATCAATGGAGTCTCTTCCATGAACACGTTTCTGGAACACCGTGGAGTAAAGGCTTCTCTGTAAACCTCCACATCAGTCATTGTTAATCTAGAGGGAAGAAGTTAAAACTCTTGCTTCTTTTTTTACTTGTGCATATGTGAGCCAGGGTGTTGGGCTATGTGAAGAGGACGTATTGGTCAGCTGGGCGAACCAAAATGGCTCTCTGATCAAGCCCTCCCAATGTGTTCTTCTCCAGAGGTGCAGCCACCCCAGCGGGACAACTTCCCACAAGAAAACACAGAAGATCTTAGTGTGCCGCTTCCAGAGGAGCCTGGTCTCTCGGATCAATCCGTGACCAGTGTGCCACTTCTGGAACAGCCTGGTCTCTCAGATCAACCTGTGACCAGTGTGCCGCTTCCAGAACAGCCTGGTCTCTTGGATCAACCCGTGACTGGGCACATGAGTGCCTCAGAGGCGTCACAGAAGTCAAATACTGAGAAAGACATAGATCCAGGTAAAGTTTATAATTTTTCTCTACGAAGTAGACATGTATTGTAAAGAAGGCCTGCTAAGACTTTATTCTCAAATGCAGGAAAGACAGGATAATCCAGGTGAGGATAAGATTTAAAAATCTTCCACAAGTAACAGAAAAGCAAGTGTTCAGATGCATGGAGATTGAAACAGGAAAGAAGCCAGGGGCCATCACTGCAGACCAATGTTTGGCTGTACCCTGCCGCTGTCAATCACCTCAGTGTGAACCTGAGCTCTTGGCCTTCAAAGGCCACACGCTCTAAGGCAGAGCCTTCCTCAGACAACAGCACACGAAGTGCTGGCCCGGGAGAGTAGTCTGTGGGAAACAAGCCCCAGGAAAAGCTGACGGGCCCCAGCTAAGGGTCTGAACTTCCGGGTCCTGGCTCTTCCTCTTCATCCCCACTCCTCTGAATAGCTACAGCAATTCAGTTGCTGTTTAGATTTTTTGCCTCCATAGGGCAAATACAGCTTCTTAAAGATGCTGCGAAGGAGTTCAGATGTCTTTTGAAAATATGCTTTTAGGAAACAGTGCAGGAATGAGAGTCCAGACCAGACTGACGTTTAGAATTGTAAATCTTTGATTTACAGCACACAGGAAATATTGGTGGGCTTGTTTTGAAAATCCTCAGTAATGGTTTCAGTGGTTCTCTAATTGTTGTGTATAGCTCTCTCTTAATTCACTAGGAGCTCTCACGGTGTTATTCTGCCATCCAATACGGTACCATGAGGACGTCCTTACTGGGTTTCTTTTTTGGGAGGAAGTGTTGTTTTTCACAGTCCTGGGGACCATACTCAGGGCTGCCTGCGTGTTAGGCTGGTGTGTTACCACTGTTAGCTCCAGCAGTATTTTGTGAGTGCATGAGCCTGTGTATATGTGAAGCACAGCTGTGTGTTAGTTTGCAGAAGTGAAGGGTTTTGAGTCAGTAGGGTACCATCCCCTGCTCTCCAGCTAATGCACAAAAGGTAGGGAACATCGTATCAGAGAGAAGTCGTGAGCCAAGTGAAGGATGCGTCAGGGGACTCCCGTGCTCCGGAGTATGGCATGATCATGTGTAACATTTTCCAAATTCTTTTTTTTTTTTCTGTTTTGTTTTGTTTTGTTTTTCGAGACAACGTTTCTCTGTGTAGGTTTGGAGCTGTCCTGGAACTTGCTCTTTAGACCAGGCCAGCCTCAAACTCACGTAAATCTGCCTACCTCTGCTTCCCAAACCCTGGGATTATAGGCGTGTGCCGCCACTGCCAAGCCCAAATTCTTTTTAATTCAGAAAGGTCCTGTTTACTGAAAAAGAGTCAGGCACCATTGAGATTCACTGCTCTTTTGCTCAACACCTTCAGGACTGGGAAAAGTTGTGCTTGCAGAACTCCGAACAGAATCTTTGCTTTAGATCCTCCCACACGGTGCCCGCTACCTTTCCAGGCAAGTCTTCCCATTGACACAGCATGCACCTCAGGTGCTAGGACACTGAGCCAGCTGGGGGAATGTCACCCATTGTCAGTACTGGATCAATACTGAACGGAGTCTGAAGGTTGGGAGGGACCCCAGAGGGTCCAGTCCTGCCTTTCGCTAACCACTGCTGACTCAAGCTGAAATCCCGCCTGCCTTCCCCTCACCGCCTTGTGCGGCGTCCTCTCAGGTGTAGCTGGGCTTTCCTTCTTTCGCAAAGCCTCCGTGCCAGTTCCCACTCTGCAGGGAATTCTTTCACACCATTCCTGGCATTTACTAGATTTCACGTAGTTGTCACCTGTCCATAAAGGAAATATCAAGTACCCGCTACATGCCAGCTATGCTAAGCCTTGTTGCATTCTATCTGCAAGCCTTTATTTTCTTAATATTTTTATTTAGCGTGTGTATTGCCATGGCACACATGTGGAGAAGACAGCATTCAGGAGGCAGATCTCTCCTGCTGTGTGGGTTGCAGAGATCAAACTCAGGTCATTGGGCTTGACTGAATGTGTTTATTGTGTCTGTATGGTTTTGTTTGATGGTGCTGTTTTTTGTTTTGTTTTGTTTTTTTTTTTTGGTTGTTTGTTTTGGTTTTCGTTGGTTGATTGGTTTGGTTTTGTGGGAATCTTTTTGTTTTTTTGAGACAAGGTCTCACTCAGTAGACCAGGCTGGCCTTGAACTCATAGAGATCCTCCTGCCTCTGAGTGCAAGGATTAAAAGCCTGCACCACCCTGCCCAGCAATCCGGCAATTCTGTCTATATGGAGAACATCTGGGGGTTTGTCTTCAGTTTTTGTAAATTTTGGAAGGAGACATGAAGGGTACCCTGGACAGTGAAGATGATTCTATTTTTATTAAGAATCTGATGGATCTGATTAAGATCTTGAAGGCTTTTGCTTTTCTCTGTGTAATTTTCCTTAGGAGACTTGAATATTCTATGTTCAATGACAGATATTTAGAGGACACTTAGCGAATATTTAAATGAAGAGAAACAATTCTTATTCTAAAGCAAAAGAGCAAACAAGGTGTCTTTTGCCTCCTTTTAGGTTTCCTTGTAACCGAAGACTCTCCTGTTGGGGCTGGTGATGCAGAAAAGCTCCTGGAGACAGGGGCAGAGGAGCCAGTGACCGTCCCGCCTCTGGAAAACGCACTTGGTTCTCTGTATTCCTTCATCCTTTATATAAGTAAGATGGTAAGTCCGGCATAGTTTCCTCAGCTAGAATGTTGACCAGTACAGGGGTGTTCTGCAGGGAGATGGTATGGGTGAGGAGTGATACCAGGTCTTAATGCTGGCCAGGCTGGCCTCAAATGCACTAAGCAGCCAAGGCTGACCTTGAACTCTCAATACCCCATTTACCACCTCCAAAGTGTTGATGCCATAGCCATGGGCCGCCACCTTGGCGTCACTTGAGAGAGGAATTTAAAATGTTTTTCTGAACTCTGAACCTCTGAAGGTGATGCCCGAGGAGAGCCGCAGGTGGATGGCTTTAATTAGGAGCTCTTAGTTTAGCATATGAACGTTTACTGCCTGGCAGGCTGGGCAGGCCCACACCTATGAAGCATGGTTGCCTCCTGGGGACCATTTGGTACCTCAGGGAACTGGAGACGCTCATTTGAAACAGAAAATAAGGCTTTTGTCAGGGCTGGTAGAGAAGGAAGAAGGTTAGGAGTGAGCTGGGATATTGTAAGCAGAATCAAAGGGAATCCAAAGTATAGTTTGTTGTTGGATAGAATGGGTGGGAAGGGTGACAGGAGCAACAGGAACAGAGGTGACATGTTCAGAGAAAGGGAGGCATGAAGAGAAGGGGACGTAGGGTAACTAGGGAAGCCGCGGTGTTTGTGGAGGTGTCGGTGTGTGTGTGTCCCTGAGTGCTGTTAAGCTGTCGGTGTCAGAGAGCCTTTGAAGGTTTGAAACAGGGAAGTGGTTTGTCAGATCCGTGTCCTAGAAAGAGCTAGATGGCAAAATGTTTATTCAGGCTAATCGTTCTGAAGAGAGTCAGGATCCAAGGAAGACATTTAGCCATCTCTAATAGCTCAGTTAAGTGCGGAGGGTTGAGCTCCCCCTTGCGGTGTGTGAGGGCATTGGACATTTTTCTTGGTAAATTGGATGATGCTGGAGGCCAAAGTGATGCCAGGACTGCAGAGTGTCACCTTGGTCACAGCAGTCTCCTGTAGGGCCTGTAATTTTGAGGTTTGTGTAATAGCGTTTTGCTGTTGATGTTTCTGTAAACAGGTTTTGAGTCAGGAAGATCTGGCTTCAAATCCCTATTTAAAAGTTTGTGCAAATTACTAAGCCTTGTTTAGTTGAAGTATAATAAGAACTGCAGATCTTTATGGCGTGGGTTCTGGATATGTGTGTATGTTATGTAATGATCAAATCAGGGAATAATCAGGACAGTGATTGTTTCTATGTGTACACAGTTTTTTTTTTAAAAAAGTGTTTTTATATTTATGTATGTATTTATTTAATGCTTGTGAATATGTATGTGGACAGCAGAGGAAAACTTGCAGGAGTCAGCTCCCTCCTTCTACCTTGTGGGTTCTGGGAACCAAACCCAGGTGACTGGAGTTGGCAACAAACACCTCCGTCTGCTGAGCCATCTCTCCACTCTACTCTTAATCATTTGAAAACACTCAGAACTAGCTCCGCTGTGCTTTTCTGCTCCCTACTTCACCCCTTCCCATCCTCCCAGCGGCCCTTCTATCTCTACCCACCGCTGTTCCACTGTTCCGTTCTGTTTTCTCTAAGATGATGAGTAGCAAATGACTAAACTCTGCATCTCGGCTTCCTTGTCTAAAAAGGGCAAATGAAAACGACTCCTGCTGCAATAGCCGAGAGGTCTGACAGCAGGAAGCACCTGGCGAGGTCTCGGGCATGTTCTGGAACTTCCTCCCGGTGCTGGTTCTTCTTTATAGTCAAAGGGCAGTGTAAAGATGTTGACTGCCCAGCACACTCAGAGGAGAGGCTGCCTGGATGAGAAAGAGGGAGCAGAGAAAATCCATCTTCAGCTTTTTCTATGGTTGCTCATGCTGGCGGCAGCTGCCAGTCAAAGGTGTGATGGTCCTGAGCTGTTATAGTTCCGGTGCTTCCGATGACTGAGCCAGGCCCAGGAGTATCCTCTGAACAGTGCAAGGAATCAGTGGTTGGATGTGGGAGGAAGTCTGTCTTCCTCGCATTCCTAGGCATGTATGGATTGTCTTCTGGGTCTGAGTTAGAGACACAGACATGCTACAGGGTATGGCCTCCACTTATAGGGTGACAGAGGAAGATAAGACCTGAAAGGCAAGAAGGGATGCAGTGCTACGAGATGCTGACTCAAAAGGCATGCTCCAAAAAGCATTTTGATGGTTCAGTATGCACAAGGCATCTGCTAGGAATCAAGGATTCTAATATGGTGGCTAGCAAAATGGCTCAGCGGGTAAGGGCACTTGCTGCCAAGTCTGACTATCCGAGTTCAGTCCCACATCCCACATTGTGGAAGGAGAGCACTAGTAAGTTATCTCTTACTAAGAGTGCCTGTAAGATATCTTCTGGCCTCCACACATGTGCCGCGGCATGCACATGCACACCTACCCACAAACAAACAAATGTAATAAGAGGGACTCTAACATGGGCCAAGCATAGTCTTGATTTTTGTAAGTCTTATGAAGGTAGGATATGTGAAAACTGAGGACCAATGTACGAGGCAATATGAAGTTTCCAACAAGGAACAGTTACCTAGAAGGTAATGAGTTCCGCTTTGATTAGGGGAAACACAGCTTCACGGGTCCATTGTTGGCTGACACTTGGAATCCTACAATTAGAAGGAACTTTGGAAGATGGCTGTCCCAGTGTCTCACTAATTACAGTAATTTCCTGACAGGTCAGTATGAGGTCTGTGCATTAGCAATTCTTTTAAATGTATTCATTTTTGAAGTTAAATACAAATAGATACTTTGTGCTCAGCATCACCCCATCACCCCTCTGCTCGTCCTTCCCCCAGCCCTGTGGTTCGTCATGAAATGAAGATTCTCCTGGACAGTCTCACTTCTGTTTTCATGTCATATGTACATGCATGCTTTTATGTGGCTAGTTAAAATCCAGGAACTGTAAATGACAGAAAACATCTCTGTCTTTCTGAGACTGCCTTAATTCACTCAATGTGATCATCTCTCGCTAGATCTACTTTCCTGCATTAATCAGAGATTCTTAGTGTGAGCCATCTGCCTTTCAGGGGCACACATCCTTCTGTGGTCAACTCATTTTTGTACTGACTCAAAACGTCCTGTGTGAAACCCTCTGTAAGATCTAATTCCTTTATACACATTAATCCTTTGAATATGTCAAGTTGGATCCTGTTTTAAGTTTTTATGGTTGTTTTAGTTTGTTCTGTTTTATTTTGAGACAGGGTCCCTCTCCATAGCTCTGGCTGTCCTAGTATATAGACCAGGCTGGCCTCAAACTCACAGAGATCTGCCTGTCTCTGCCTCTAGAGTGCTGGAATTAAAGGTGGGAGCTACCATGCCCAAATTTTTAACACTTTGTCATGAAAATGTCAAACAAAAGCAGAGACACTAATTAGGTGATCAACATTAGATTATAACAATGAAACATTCATTTTCAAATCTGGAAGTAGTTCTGTAAGATTTTGCCACATAGAAATAAAAAAATGCTTGAGAAAGGTCCAGTCTTTTAGACTCTTTCTGAGAGAGCACAAATCTCAGACCAGTTATTTTGTAGCCTTTTTTCTCTGAGTTATGATGCCAGAGCCTTAAACATTTAGTTCTTTATCCTTTTCCTGGTGGTCAGTATTCTTATTTTCCCATTTTGCTTGTTTAATATATTTGGAAACCATATAACAGCACCGTATACAATTATTATTGCTGCTGGAGGGGCCTGAGAAACCTGGCTTTCTCTTTTCCCAGGCTCCACCCACAATCCCATTTTGATAGTTCCTTGGCCATGCTGACCCCATCCCCTGTGGCAAGTGAGCTTTTTTCATCTGGATTGTCCTTCACTGGACGAGAGCCACTTTGAGCTTTCGTCCCCTCTCCTCCCTCAATGGACTCTTCCGCCCAACTCCTTCAACTCCTTGTGTTATTTTTCCCCTCTCTCACTTCTCGGTTCTCTTGCGCTCATTTCTGCGCGCGCCCCCCCCCCCCCCCCCGCCTCACTCACTTGGACTCTAGTCAACTCTGCGCCCTTCCCCTCACTTGGACTCTCCTGCCCAGACCTCATGCTCTTTTCTCCCCATCCTCACTGCTTGATGGATCTGCTAACCTATATGCTCAACCTTTCCCCCTCGCCGTGGATTCTTCCGTTCAGCGTGTTGTGGTCCCCCAGCTCTGCTCGGTTGGTTTGTCCGGCACTAGCTCCGCCCCCGCCCCCGTCCCGCCCTCGCGTTAGTCCCATCCCCCGCACTTCTGGCTCGCCGGCTTCCTGGGTGCGTTGACGTGGTTTCCTGGGCGCTGTCTGATGACGTGTTTTCCCCGGAGGCCTAGTGCGGAAGGTGCCGCGACCCGGGAAGGCGAAGTTCATTCCCGGTGTCCGCCCCCCTGAGCCGGTCCTTCCCGAGGCGGAAACGGTGAAAGCCGGCTCGGTGCTGTCCGCAGGAAGTGTCACCTCCGCGCAGCTGTCCCAGACACGATGGACTCAGTGCCTGCCACCGTGCCTGCTGTCACCGCCTCCCCGGGGGATCCCGAGCTGCTGGGCCCCCTGTCGGTGCTCTACGCAGCCCTCATAGCCAAGCTACTGGAGGTGACAGTTTCCACTCCCAGGGAGGGGCCGCGGCTGTGGCTGGCGGGTGGACCAGTGCTGGGCAGAGTGGGTGCCTAGAGCGACAGCTCCGGAGAGGGGAGCGAGGCTGCGGTGTGGGCGCTTAGGTTGCTTGCTGGGTTTTCACCGAGCACTGTCGAGGTGGCAGGCACTGCGTTACGTGGAGGCTTCCTTTCCTGGCTGCACTGCCGGGGGTGGGGCCAGTATTATAATTAGCAGGTAGTGAAAGTGTGGAGTGGGCAGGTGCGTAATAATCCTGCCTTTAAGGAAACATTTAGAGCTAAGGCACTTTTGAGAGCATGACCCCTAAACCGGTTATCAAGAGCTGTCTGAACTTACTCAACACTTGTCTTCGTTTATGTAAAACTGGAGCCAAAACTTAAAATATTAGGGGAAGAACACATTATATTATCACACTGGGTTTATTTGCACCCACAAAAGTTGATTAGTTTATATTTAAAGCTTTCGTGTTGTGCACTTTTCAAAGTAATAAAACAGCTTATCTAAAAGAATGATCCAGGGAATTTCTAACTATATATAGACAATACAATATGGCAGAGCCTATCAGAAACTGGAAATATATGGCCAACTTAAAGATATTTAGACACTTGACTTAAAAACACTCCAAGTTAAACAAATATGAGAATGACAATATTCTGTATTTCTTGAAGTGGGAGGTATTGAAGATGACCAGGAGTGCTTATCTGGTGGAGACGCGTAGAATTTCTGTGAAGATTCTTTTAGAATGTTTCATTATAAACATTTTCAAGGTTTCCCATTATTTCTGATGTGTTGGTTTCAGTTGATTGCCACGTTGCCCGATAATGTTCAGCCTGGCCCTGACTTTTATGGACTACCATGGCAGCCTGTGATCGTGACTGCCATCTTGGGAATTGTCTCATTTGCAATTTTCTCCTGGAGAACTATTCTTGTTGTAAGTAAATTCAATGACCTTATCACATGACTCAGGAAGTACATGAGGTATTTCGTACTCACTGCTCCTTTTACCTATTTATTTTAAATTAGTAACATAAATGCAACTTGCTGGTTATAATTCTATCTTGGCAATTTAGTGTAGTCTTTGTATTGATAAAGGCTTAAGAAAACAAGGTAACATTTATAATCGTGATGAGAAAACTATTTTGATTTTAAAAACTCCTATACGATTAGATATATGTACACTGTAAGTAGAACTGGGAATTCTTAAAGTCATCCTTAAAAATAATTTCCTAATATGTATCAGAAGCTTTAAAAATAAAGTCAGGTGGATAATAGCTATCCTCTTAAATAGTATGATAAATCTTGTGTAGTGATCTCTATGAAAGAAATAACCAATCATACATTAAAGATCTTATACAAGAATGTTGAATGACACAGTCTTTATTTTCAATTAGTTATTAGGTGTGTGTGTGTGTATGTGTGTGTGTGTGTGTGTGTGTGTGTGTATGTGTGTGTTTTCTGCATGTGCACCTGCACACAGGCCATGGAGGGTGTGCAGAGGTCAGAGTACAATTTTGTTGACCTGGTTCTCATCGTCTTCCTTTACCTGCATTCCAGGGATTGAACTCATCATCAGATTCACATCATCTGGCAGCAGGCACCTTTACCTGCTATCTTGTCAGCCCTGGAAGGGTACTTATTAGAGAGGGAACTTGCAGCAGCCTGATATATATTCATATAATGGGATATTTGATGATTACAAAGACAGTGACATGCAGCAAATGCTCATAATTTAGTGTGAAATGGGATGAAGCACAAACTGACTTGAAAGTGATGTTAAACTGCACATATAAACACATGCATGCACACTGCAAAGTAGTACAGCATAGTGACACACGGCCAGCAGATGAGGTCATTTCAGTGTATATATATGCATGTGTGCATATAAATTTGGATGGCTGTCCAGAAGAGCCTGTCAGATCACTGAAGATGGAGTCCAGGTGGTTGTGGAACCAAACTCCTGTCCTCTCCAAGAGAAGCAGGGCTTTTAATTCTGGAGCCATCTTTCAAGTCTTAGCCTTTGTATGTGTTTCCCAAGTTTTCTGGTTTGATCACATGCTGTGGTGTTTCAAAAATATTCTTTTTATTTGGGGTTACAGATTGTAGGTTGTCCAAAGACACATTATTACATTTTCATTCTTTTTTTTTTTTTTCCCTGAGAATTTGTGTTTCAGATACACAGTTCAGTGTGGAAGACTTGGGTTTTCCCTGAGATTCCTCGGCTTTGCTTCCCCATACTTATCTGCTCTTGTTAGTTTGGGTGAAATGGGAGAAGTACAGATTATTCTTTGATTGACAAGGCTATAACATTAGAGAGATGGGCATTTCTTTTCCTGTGTTGGAAGCTTTTGTTTGTTTTGTTTTTGTTTTAACTCCTAGAACTGGAGTTACAGATGGTTGTGAGCTACCATGTTGGTACTGGGAACCCAGGTCCTCTGGAAGAGCAGCTAGTGTTCTTAACTGCTAAGCCATCTCTTCAGCCCCCAAATGTATTTTCTTACAGCAAGATAATATTTATACGTATTTTCTATTGATATGTTTGGAATTCCACAGATGATTTGTGGATGGGTCTGAGTATCTCATCACCACTTAATTAATAGTAGCATTTGAGGGGCTGAAGAGATGACAGCCCAATCAATGATTTAGTACTCGTTGCTCTTGCAGAGGACCCAAGTTTGATTCCCAGCACTTGTGGTAGTTCATAACCATCTATACTTCCGGTTTCCAGGATATCTAATACCTGCTTCTGGCTTCCACAGCCACAAGGCATGCATAGGGTGCATATACATATAAGCAAGCAAAACACTCACATATAAAATAAATAAATACTATTCCTTTTTAAATAGTAGAATTTTTTTTTTTTTTTAGGAGAAATATTTTGAGTCACAAAGAAATTTAGTGATCCAGCACAGCGGCTCAGTGGGTAAAGTCTTGGCCTGCAGCCAAAACTAACAACCTGAATTTTATCCCAGGACCCAACATGGTTGAAGGAAAGAACCAACTCCCACAAGTTGACCTCTGATTTCCATGTGTACATATGTATGCCCTGGCATGTGTACCCCCCCCAACACACATGAACACACAAATAAATAAGTGTAATTTGGTGTTGTGGAATTCATCTGTAACTATAACCCCAGTACTTGGAAAGCAGAGGCAGGTGACTACATGGTTTACGTGGTTTACATAGAGAGTTCCAGACTAGCCAGGGTTAGAGAATAAGACCATATCTCAAAAGAAAAAACAGATTTAGTAAATCTTTCTGCACTAGTAACTGCCTTTGCTTTACTGCTCTAGAGGTCATTATTCTCCTGCTGTCAGCCGTCCTGTACATCTCCTCTGGAAATGCATCCTTTTCAGCCATTACCATCTACTAACATTGCCATTGTCAGTAGTCTCGGAAGTCACGTGGTACTCTGAGATCAGATTCCGAGTTGCTGTTAATTTTTTTTTGTGTGTTCATGATGTTTGTGTGCATGCATATGTGTGTGTGTGTGTGTGTGCACGTGCATGTGTGAGTGTGCATGTGCGGAGCTCAAAGGTCAACTCCTGGTGTAGTCTTAGTTTTCTTTTTAGAGATGGGGTTTCCTTTTTAATTATCTAATGCCACATCTCGCAGGCTGCTGGCTTGCAGGATTCTGGGAGACTCATATTTCCACTTCCCGTCTTACTGTGGGAGCACTGGCTACAAATATGTACTGCCATTCCTGTGGGTCCTCACACTTACACGGCAAGTGTTTTACCCACTGCCCCAACCCTGTCAGTTTATTTCTAAATTCAGCAGGTAGACAACTCTGAATAGGATTTCTAGGATGTTTTCTGGTGAGTACATATCTAAAGACAAAGATTTTTTCCCCTTAATTTAGTTTCTTTGTCTTTTTGAACACTCATTTCTAGAGGTTAGCTATTGGGAGTAGTCAGATGATATCAGGTAAATAAATTATTGGTATGTTTATTACCAAGCTAGTAGCCATGTGTATTAAGCATCAGTGCTCATATCTTAAGATTGGTGCTCCCTTAATAAATGCACAAACATACTTCTAGCTGCAAAACAAGATACACATCTTAGTGTTTTTATCTATTGAAGCTATTTATGAAGTATGAATACTAATTACATATGAAATGCCTTTTAGCTTTGTCTTTTAAAAATAATTTTAAGACTACATTTATTTATTTATTTGTATGCATTTGAGCCATGGTGCACGTGTGCAGATCAGAGCACAACTTGCAGGTTCTCTCTTTGCACTATGTGGGTCCAGGGGAAGGAACTCAGAATGTCAAGGTTAGCGATAAGCACCTTTGCCTGCTGCGCTATCATGCTAGCCCAAGCTTTCCTTATTTTTAATACTGTGGATTTATTTTGCTGAACCTAGTTGTTACTAAATTTTCATTTGTTTATGGTTCTCACTTCTGTATTAGGAACAATATGATAATTATGTTTTGATAACAAATTTAATTTTATTTCTTTTCTTTTAGGTAAAGAGTAGAGTATATCAAGGTAAATCTTTAGGTTTGTTTTCCCTTATACCAACCCTGTGCATTGGTGTTTAAGCTAGACAGAGGTACCATGACTTCTCATGCCTGATTGCTTTATTAACTCCTGGAAGTTTACTGTTTCTAGGCCACCAGCTTGGCTGATAGAACCATGATGATGCCAGCTGAGACAGGCAACAGTAGTAAACTGAGGCAGTGGGGAGAGCAGGGTTAGTTAACATGGGCCGTTAACTTTGAATGTTGGTGCAGTGCACATTTGTTACATTGAACATGCTAAATCCTTATTTGAGTGGATGACGTGCAGGATGGTGGGATGAACTGGTGTTTTGTATTTCTCAGTTTCTCTTTGCAAATGACATCAAAAGCATTTCCATTTCCTGAGATGGGATCAAGTTATAACATTTCTTTAGATTCTTCTGTATCTCTAAAATAAATTAAAACTTTAATATTCTTACATCCTTATTGCAGTCACTACAGACTGCCTTTAAGGACAGAATAGTCACGCAAAGCATGTTTTCCTCTAGTGCCTGACAGCTGCCTTTGCTGCAGTGCACTGGGCATCGGCTTCATTCGGGCTCACAAACTTACAGATTTTCTTTCTTTTTAGTTACCGAGAAGCAAATTTCTAAAAAGTTGGAGAATATCAAGAAAGAAAATGCAGAACTTATGGAAAAATTGTCAAATTATGAACAAAAGGTATAATTATTCTTTTAATTTCCTCCCCTGTTGCAGCTTAATATTTGTCTTTAACATTCCGTTTATGATTTTTTTTAAGATTCATATTTTACTTCATCATTTCCTATGAGCCATCCAAGATGTCAGCGGTGCTTTCTGTAGGAGGTTGTGAGCTTGGACATGACTTTGGTAGCATTATAATTTGTAGTTCATTCTATGTTGTAACTATTAACCTTAAACACTTTGTTTTACCTAGATCAAAGAGTCAAAAAAACATGTTCAAGACACAAAGAAAGAAAACATGATTCTCTCTGATGAAGCTATTAAATACAAGGTAAAACAAAAATCTCTTCGGGTGAGAATTGCATTCTAAAAGTGAAAATAAATGGAATGAATAATTCTTACTAATCTAAATATCCTTTTTGTTTGTTTGTTTTTGTTAAGGATAAAATCAAGGAACTTGAAGAAGCTAATGAAATTCTGAGTGACAAAGCCAAACGTCTTCATCTTCTGTTAGAGTCCGAAAGAGAACAGAATGTCACGAATCAGGGCGTGGTACGTTTGCTGCTAACTGGTGATGTAATTGAACTTGTGAAGGGTTCTGCAGTGAGGGCAACTCTCCCGTGCTGTTAACTAAATCAAAAGGAGGAATCAGGGGAAGTTGAACCTAATGTGGTTTATCTTGGAGGATTTTAACTTGTAACCCAGCGAGTTATTCTTATGGGCATAGGAAGAGTATTTGTGTTCTCAACACTGGATAATTAAACCAAATAGTTTCACTCTGCCGTCCAGAACAGGTAGATGACCTAGGAATTCTAGCTTTATTGAATAGTTCTTAGATCTTTTTTTGTTTTGTAAAAATTCTCATTTTAATAAATTTATTTCTGTTTCATATAACAATTGCAGAGGAAATAGAGTTCCCATTATATCCTATTTCAGCTGTGCTAATCACCCAGCTAAGGAAGTAATAGCCACATTTCTCTGATGTTAAATTATTCTTTTTAGCTTTGTTTACCGTATTCTTTGGAAATCACTATACATGACTCACAATTAGAGGAAAGAATTACATTTTCCAACCCCTTGAGGATGTGGTGTCTTCATAAATCTTTGGAATTCTTCTGAATGAGATTTATCTATTTTCTTCCAAACTGAGCTGTTTTGAGTGTAGGCAGTGAAACTCAACTTCCCATCCTTCTAGTGTCTCATAGGGTAAGTGGGTATTCTAACACCCACTATTCCCCAGGATTCTGACCCTCGTGTCTCACATAGGGAAGTGGGTATTCTAACACCCCTTATTCCCCGGGATTCTGACCCTAGTGTATCACATAGGGTAAGTGGGTATTCTAAAACCCTGTAATCCCCGGGATTCTGACTCTAGTGTCTCATAGGGTAAGTGGGTAGGTATTCTAACACCCCCTATTCCCCAGGATTCTGACCCTAGTGTCTCACATAGGGTAAGTGGGTATTCTAACATTAAGCTATAGCACTACCTTTTTTTATTTTTTAATTTTGAGATTGTTTCCACTAAGTTGCCTATGCTGGCTGTGAACTCTATCTGTAACCAAGACAGGTCTTGAAATCATGATTCTTTTGCTTCCTAAATTAATGTACATTAGCAGACTTGGCTAGGCAGAGAATTTTTTCCAAGTTTTAGTTTTCTTCTATCACTAGGAGGAGCTGGGGATGGAAGACAATGACATTAATTTGAATTGGCTGACTTGAAAGATTTTTTTAAATTTTATTTTTATCTTTTTATGTGGTCATCTGCTATATTATCTTGTAAGTGGAGGCTGCTTGTTCATTTCCCAGCCACCCAGATCCGAAATAATCACACAGACACTGTATTAATTACAACACTGTTGGGGCAATGACTCAGGCATATTTTTAGCTAACTCTTACATCTTGAATTAACCCATTTCTATTAATCTGTGTATGACCATGAGGCTGTGGCTTACCGGAAAGGATCCAGGTCCTTCTCCTTCGGCAGCTACATGGCATCTCCCTGACTCTCGGCCTTCTTTTCTCCTTATATCTCTGCTTGGAATTCCCACCTTGCTCTATTCTGCCCTGCCATAGGCCCAAAGCAGCTTCTTTATAACCAATGGTAACAAAACACATTTACAGCATTACAGCATACAGAGGGGAATCCCACATCATTATCTCAAAACTAAGATGGTTGGATTATTACTACATTGATTTCCCTGCCCTCCTTAGGCCAAAATTGGATCCCTTACTTTAACCAAAAATATAGGCTGTTGTAGGATGTGTTAGTATTTCTTCCTTTAGTGTGTGTGTTGGCTAGTTTTATATCAAGTTAACACAGAGAGAAGTTCAGTTGAGAAAATGCTCTCATCAGGTTGGAATGTGGGGAAAGCCTATGGTGCATTTTATCAACTGATGATTTATGTGGGCGGGCCCAGCTCTGTAGAAAGGGGCTGCGGGCAGGCCTGCTTTTCGCCTCACCCGGCTCCCGCACGGCTAGCTTAGTCCCAGAAATAACAACACACAAATTGTATTCATTTAAGCACTGCCTGGCCCATTATCTCTAGAGAGTTAGTTACTGACTAACTCTCATATCTTGTTATTAACCCATTTCTAATAATCTCGTGGTAGCACCACGAGGTGTGGCTTACCGGGAAAGATTCAACATGTCTGACCTGGTGGCTGGCTCCATGGCGTCTGGCTCATAGCCCTCTTCCCAGCATTTTGTTCTGTTTACTCCGCCTACCTAATTTTCTGTCCTATCAAGGGGCCAAGGCAGTCTCTTTATTGACCAATGAAAATAACACAATAGACAGATAACCCTCCTCCATCACAGCTCTTTGTGGGCAGTGCTGTCTCTGGGCTGATGGTCCTAGAAATTACAAGAAAATGGGCTGAGTAAGCCATGGAAAGCAAGCCAGTAAGCAGTGTTCTTCTGTGACCTCTGCATCAGTTCCTGCCTCCAGGTTCCTGCCCTGACTTCCTTAGATATGGACTGTAAGCTGTAAGCAGAAATAAACCCTTTGTTCCCCAAGTCACTTTTGGTCAGTTTATCACACAATAGAGAGCAAATATGGACAGCATGTATGTGTACTAGTGACTGTGCTGAGACCTGAGGCTCTGTGTTCTGCTTTCATGGGTCAGATACTAGAAAAGAAGAAGTCTATTGAAAAGTTGAAGGATGTCATTTCGATGGATGCATCAGAACTTTCAGAGGTGAGGCTGCCTGTGTGCCCTACACAAGAGTAATAGCATTGTCTTAGTCTGGTTGAGCAAAAGTTTGATGCATGCTAAAGCATGTAAAAGATGAAAGTTGCATGATATTTGGTTGAAAAATATAACTTTTTTCTTTGGGACTTATTTACTAACTGGGAGTGTTTTACATTAGGTTCAAATTGCCCTTAATGAAGCCAAGCTTAGGGAAGAGAATGTAAAATCTGAATGTCATCGTGTTCAGGAAGAAAATGCCAGGCTTAAGAAGAAGAAAGAGCAGGTAAGGCCAGTTCTCCTAATAGGTGATGGCGTGTCCTCTCAGCAGTCTTTTCTTGGACCTGCTAAGGAAAGGAAGTAAGTACTCAGGCTGGGTGTTGAGAAGTGGAAACCATGCTTCCTAGGTTGAGCAAATGTCTGTGTCATGAGTTTTCTTCACAACTTAACACAACACTCAGGGAGTTTATTCTTTATCCTGTCAAATGCCAGTCAGTTGTTGACATGAGTAGCCTCAAAAATAGTCAGGGTTTTTATATCAGATAAATATTTTATAATCATTCTTTGAATAGTTATTTCTTCACTGACCAAGAGGAGGTTATATGATCAGAGTATGAACTTAGGATCTGAGATGTACCCACCCATTCATCATGGAAGAAAACTAAGTTGAGTTGGTAATAGTGTTCTGAAGGCTGAAATAATTGGATCAACCTCCTTGATCAGACTCATGTTTTTCCTGTAGTTCTGAGGGGTGGAACCATTCACCCTTTTTCTTTATTGATATTTTAGCTCCTAGTGACATGCCAAGCAGAGGTGTGGCTTCCTACCCCCCATCCCACATAGATCAGATGTCTCCTATACACACAGGAATTTATATGTTTTGACTTTTCAGTTGCAGCAGCAGATTGAAGAATGGAGTAAATCACATGCTGAGCTCACTGAGCAAATCAAGTCATTTGAGAGATCCCAGAAAGACTTAGAAGTAGCTCTTACTCACAAAGACGACAGTATTAATGTAAGTTTATCCTCATGAGTACACACTTAATCCTCTGAATTCTTCTGATTTAATCCAAGAGGCTCTTAAACCATTCACTTCTTTGCTAGGCTTTGACTAACTGCATCACACAGTTGAATCGGCTGGAGTGTGAACTTGAATCTGAGGATGAGAATAAAGGAGGAAGTGAGTCAGATGAGCTGGCTAATGGAGAGGTGGGAGGTAAGAGCAGTCTCGGGGAGGCTGGACCTATTTTGCCCTCTTGACTTCAATTTCAGTTCACTGAGGCTACTTTTCATTTGTGGTAAGCTTTATTGCAGTGTGCTCATACCACTGGACTTGTAGATATGTATGTCTGTGTTGGGCCACATGGGTTCCTCAGGTATAGTACAATGTAGGCATGCAAAGAAACTGACATGTATCGTGGAGCTGTGTGAGTCTTCTCTTGCCTCTAAGTATTAAAAAGGTGCCTCATCCTTGTGGAGCATGGTCTCTAGGCCTGCAGTTTCTTTTCAGAGGCCTGAGGTGGTTGGACTCACATTGTAGGATGCTAGAGGGCACTGTCTCCCAAGTTGAATACTAACTGCTCCTTACCACTGTGGGTGCTTTAAGTCACACCTGGCAGTGGATGTGAGGGAGAACAAAGGCCTGGATAGCTTTAAGTAGACATTTGTCCAGGTGGAGGGGATCTGACAGAGGAAAGCACTCTGTCTTAGAGCAAGGATGATTTTTTTTTATTGCACAAACTGGTAAACTCTACATCTAAATTTTCAGTTCTAAATTAGTTTAATCAGTTTTCTTAGTTTTTTGTTTTTATTCCATTGTTTGAGAGAAGTCATGGAGATGTCATTAAAAAGCAACTAAGAAAAAGCAACTGGAGCCTTTTCTCTTGTAGGTGACCGGAATGAGAAGATAAAGAATAGAATTAAGCAGATGATGGACGTCTCTCGGGTATCATACTATTTGAAGTCCCAGAAGCATCCGGGAGTCCTTCCTATGGCTTACTTTTAAGACTAGATCTTTCTTCTGTAATTTTCAGACACAAACTGCAATGTCAGTAGTTGAAGAGGATCTAAAACTTTTACAGCTTAAGCTAACAGCATCAATGTCCACCAAATGCAACCTGGAAGGTAGGCTCTGGAGTTAAAATTGCCATGTATTCGAACAATTTAAAATTTGACTAAAAAGATAAATAGGTTCGAGTGTTCATGCATCTCACTTCTCAGAACTGCCCCCTCAGTCCTGTCTCTGAGGCCTCTGTACACATACAGAGGAAACCTTTGTATTCCTTACAGACCAAATCAAGAAATTGGAAGATGACCGTAACTCGCTACAGACCGCTAAAGCCGGGCTGGAAGAAGAGTGCCAAACTCTGAGGCAGAAAGTGGAGATCCTGAATGAGCTGTACCAGCAGAAGGAGATGGCTTTGCAGAAGTAGGGCCCACTGCTGTGCAGCTGTGCACTCACCGCTTTGTCTAAAGTTCATTTGCACTTCCCCCATGGAGACTTGGCTTGTCCTTTTTGCTTTATTTTCTATGACTTGCTGTGTGTGCGCATGCGCGCTATATGTACTTGATTTGGGTATGCACATGTGTGCAGAGGTGGGGTGTGGAGGTCAGAGGTCATAGTTAATTGTCTTTTCCTCCTTTGATGTCCACCATTATTTCTTGAGACATCTTTTATTGACCAGAAGAGCAAGCTGGCTGGCCAGTGAGTTTTGGAGATCTGCCTGCCTCTACCTCCCCCTGCTGGGGCTGTAGGTATGCTCCTCCACACCTAGCTTTTTATACAATGGTTCTTGTAGGACAACATAAAAAAGTGATTAGTGCTGGGCAGTGGTGGCGCATACCTTTAATCCTAGTACTTAGGAGCCAGAGACCAGCCTGGTCTGCAGAGTGAGTTCCAGAACTGGCTCCATAGCTACTGAGAAACCTTTTCTTGAAAAACCAAAAAAAAAAAAGTGACTAGCACCCTTTCAGGGCAGATGCTGCTTTAGCTGAGTTAGAGTGCTGTTTTCCATAGGATGGGAAGGCACTTTCATACCTATTTTTACAGTTGTTTTCCTTACTTGTCATAGAAAATTATGGGCCACACTTAGAATGTTGCACCCTGCTTGCTAAGAGGTCAGTTTGATTTCTTGGATGTCAGGGAAGATTTTCATTTCTTACATGTCTTCATGTGTTGGGGCATTAAGAGAAGAATAGGAAGCTGCATGGTGTTGGCACATGCATTTAATCCCAGAGAGGCAGAGGCAGGCAGATCTCCAATTTCAAGGCCAGCCAGTCTACAGAATGAATTCCAGGACTACACAGAGACACAGTGTCTCAGAAAACAAACTAACACACACAGGGTAGGAGATGACAATTGAATAGAGAGAGCCTGCTGTAAGAAATGACATTCACCTAAGAACTGGTTGATCCTAGGAAACTGAGTCAAGAAGAGTATGAGAGGCAAGACAGAGAGCAGCGACTGTCAGCTGCAGATGAGAAGGTGGTTCTGGCTGCAGAGGAATTAAAAACTTACAAGTAAGTTCAGGCTCTCTGCATGGGGACTGGGGCCTTGCACGGAGCTGCACTTTCCTTTCTACAACCGTTTCGTAGAAGAAAACAGCACAGAAACTAAGTGAGGAGGGGCTATAAGACCATTCACCTAGAGAAAGTTAACAAATGGAAAAGGCTAACATCAATTTACTTATCCTGCTCACCGAAGGAATGTAAAAAAGGCCCTTGTTTCTTGCAGGTGGCTGTGGGTGGCGGGGTGGGGAGGAGATTTACATATTAGAGTGGTTCTCAACTTTCCTAATGCTGCCACCCTTTAAAATAGTTCCTCATGTTGTGGTGACCCCTAACCATAAAATTATTTTTCTTGCTACTTCACAATTGTAATTTTTCTACTGTTATGATTGTAATGTGTTTTTAAAGATAGAGATTTGTCAAAGCGGTCTCATCCCACAGGTTGAGAACCACTGTTTTAGAGTCATTCTTTAAACAATGCAGTTTGCTATGTAACTTCAAAAAAGTCCCTGCAGTGACTATACCATTTGCTAGATCAGTAGTCATTAGTAGTCATTAGCCTGTTTAGGTTTTTTTTTGGGGGGGGTAGAAAGAAAAACAAGTTGTGTAACTGTGCAGAAGCAGATATTCATTGCAGGATTTTTTTTGAGACTATATTGAAGATCATTAAGGAAATAATAATCTAAGACTCTCTAGCCATGAAATGAGAGGAAAATTAATGTGTTTTGATTATACTGTACTTTGAGTAAATTTATATAAAACATGTTTTTGTATGTCTGGTAAAATCTTTAAAACTGTAACTGCCCAGAATTAAGGGAACCTTATTGGGCTACTGCCAATTTTATCAAGTGGTATTTTAACTGATAATGCCAAGTGTAATTCTTAGGCGGAGAATTGAAGAAATGGAAGAAGAGTTACAGAAAACAGAACGATCATTTAAAAGCCAGGTAAAAACTATATTAACCTGCCTTAGTTGCAGATTGTTTTTCATAACTAATCTATATTAAAGTAGGCATTATAAAGAGCCTGAATGTGTATTTAATGTGTTGTCTTTCAGATCGCTGCTCACGAGAAGAAAGCTCATGATAACTGGGTAAGGGGTTTTCTTTTTGAATTTTGTGCACAGCCTACTCTATCTGAACCACAATGCTTTTCTCTTCCAACAGCTCAAAGCTCGTGCCGCAGAGAGAGCCATGGCAGAGGAGAAGAGAGAAGCTGCTAACTTAAGGCACAAGTACGGAGTCTTGACACCTGTTTTTCAGGGTTTTTACGGTGTTTTAATGCTAGGTGGTATCTAATAAGGAACTGATTGCTATTTCAATTTAAGTCCATTCTTTCTCAATATTCAAGATTACTGGAAATGACCCAAAAGATGGCAATGAGGCAAGATGAACCTGTGATTGTAAAGCCAATGCCCGGAAGACCAAATACTCAGAACCCTCCCCGGAGAGGTAGGAAGCACTTTGTACAAGGCAGCAGGATTTTGGTGTGGAATGTGTGTAAATTAAACTTTACTTCTGTAATTGATATGATGCCCTAGAAAGACTCCTGAGCTTCCTGGAGGGAAGGGGCTGTCATAGTGGTAACAAGGCATTGCTGTCTTCAGGTCTGAGCCAGAATGGTTCTTTTGGCCCATCCCCTGTGAGTGGCGGAGAATGCTCCCCTCCCCTACCAGCAGAGCCACCTGGGAGACCTCTCTCTGCCACACTCAGTCAAGGAGACATGCCTAGAAGTGAATGTGGTGAGCACTGGCGTATCCCTCTGCACTACAGTACATGATGCGGGCTCTTGATGTGTTAGAATTCAGGTCTGTTCCCATAGAAAAGTGGGTCACTGTAAGCGCTGCCATAAGATTAAACTGTGACTATGAAATGCCACCTTCCTCTAATTCTGTCTGGCGCTTTGGAAGACTGTCAGTCAGACTGGGAAAATGCCGTCAGTACAGTGCTATTGCATCGCTAGCCTCAATCACCAGACCAATATTCTTACTATAAAGTCTGTTGCTCATATTTAAAACTAAAGCAATTCTTGGGGCTGGAGAGGTGGCTCAGTGGATAGCAGTACTTGCTGCTCTTCCAGAGGTCCTAGATCCACTTCATATAACCAACATGGCAGCTCTCAACCACCTTTAACTCCAGTCCCAAGGGATTTGACACCCTCTCCTGTACTCCATGGGTACTGCACACATGTGGTACAAATACATGCAAACAAAATACCCATACACATAAAACAAAAACAAAGGAAAATAATTTTAAAATAAATATACAAAAACTGAGGCAACTCTTGTTTTAATACTTGAAGTCTCTGCATAAATTGTGACTCATATATTGAGATCCATCTTTGGGATTGCAGGTATGTGCTATCTTGCCTAGCAGGTCTATTTGTAATGCCGCTTTCTAGTTAAGAGTTGAGCCCTATCCACAGCAGGTTTATTCCCCCTGAAAACTACCTGTGAAGGCCTTTGTTGTTTCTTTCTCAAGGGTCATTGGACAGGCATTTACCTCGCCCTCGATGGCCATCAGAGGCATCTGGAAAACACTCTGCTTCTGGTAAGGGGCCTAAGGACTTTCCAAGCCTCATACATGAGGGACTTTAAGTAATACTTCCCAGAGCACGTGGCAGGGTGAGTCTAAGTTGTTCTCCGGCCCTTGCAGACCCAGGTCCAGCTCCTGTGGTGAACAGCAGCTCCAGGAGCTCCTCCCCAGCGAAGGCCACGGATGAAGGCAAGGTACGCTCTGCAGGCAGATGAGTATTTCCTACTGGTTTCCCCCACCTCTCTTGTTCATATGTCTATTTGTTTCTTTAAAAGCAAACTGTTCCCCAAGAGCCTGACGGCCCCTCAGGTTCCAGCATGGCCCCTTTAGCTGAGCATCCAGTAGCAGTAAGTGTTTAGAGTTTGAGGGCCAGAGTGGGCTTTGGTTTTGCTTGGTTTGTCCTTAGAAAGTTTATGAAAGCATGATACTCATCTTGCTCACCATCTATCGAGTGGCAGTATCACTTCAGTGCACCTTGACTTTGGAGTGTTACTGAGCCAAAGTGGTTGGTTGTCGGTGTCCTAAATTACTAATCAGTGTAGAGCATTTGCAGTAGCTATTACTAGAGTGGAAAGTCATCAGTCCAACTTATGCTGTGTGCTTTGTGCTGAAAACTCTGAGTGAAATACACTCACTGTAAATCACATTACTCGTTGTATCTGCTCAAAACTGTGCCATTGAGAAACCCCTACATCTGTGTACCTGGCAAACTGTTTTGAATGATAGGAAATCAGATTGCTTACGAACAGAAATGTGTAGCATCTGTTGATCTGGTCCGGAGCTGTGGCTGTACAAGTTCGGTGTTCACAGAGTGCTTACTTTTGTGACACGTGTGGCTATTGCAGTTACTCAGCCTTCTGTGCTACATTAACATAATATGGAAATTCCTGTCCTGTAGTGTTGCCAGCCAGTGAAGGTCATTATTGGAGCACCATCTTTCTAATTACAAACATAAAACGGGAAATATTGTGAAATGGAGTACAGGGTCCCAGGGATGTGCATGTCTTGAGAAGTCTTTAACCAAGGCCAGTTTGGGTGAGACTTCAGAGATTGGAGACTTAAATTATGGAGGCTTTGGAGCGGCACAGCCTTGGAGTGGAGCCTGGCATTTGAGTTCCAGCTTGCCCTCCTACATGCAGTATGACTTCCAGCAAATCAGCTCCACTCCTCTTGCCTTTCATGTTTAATGCAATATAGTCACACTTACAGACTGAAATCTTAGAATTTGGATACCATGGCAAAGGCCTACTGATGCTACCATGAATGGTTGCGATTACTGCTTGTGTGGAAAATGGATTTTCATTCTGTTCTCTATTCCTAATATGCACATATGGAATCACAGTGATGAGTACTCTTTTGATATGAATTGCAGTGGGTATGGCATGGGTATGGTGTGTCACAATCACTTTCTATAAAGCCGGTAGTCCTCTGTGCAGGTATCAAACGGTGACTCAAGTCACTGCTTGCAGCGTCCTTCTTGCCTCTCCAGTTGTCATGGGCAACATGGGGTGGGAGGTGGTGTTATGCTGACAGTTCTTTGGACAGGTGCCAGTTTACTAGTCTTGGCACTTTATCATATAAAAGCATTTCCAAACTTTGATTGCTTCTTTTCTACAGGTTAACATGGCTCCCAAAGGGCCCCCTCCGTTTTCAGGGGTGCCTCTCTTGGGTGGCCCTTTGGGAGGCCCCATACCACCACCCATTCGATATGGACCACCTCCTCAGTTATGTGGGCCTTTTGGGCCTCGGCCAGTTCCTCCACCATTTGGTATGCTAATCTGAACAGTATTGATTGACTTGTAAAACATGCTCATCTTTTCTGTTCCTTGCTAAAGTAGTTGCTATCATAGAGCTTTCCAGGTGAGGATAAAGCTGTGAGCACATTGTACCCTATCCTCAAGCTAAGGGATCACTTAGGGAAGCCAGTAATGTTCCCTCTGCAGGTGCTACATATTATGTTTGGAAAAGGTGGGCGACACATGACATAATACCCTGTATGTCACAGATACAAACAGAAGCATAAGCCACCGGTCATAGAATGTAGACAGGAAAGCTAAACAATCCCTTCTCACTGGGACTAGATAGAAGAGAGGTGTTACAGAGAATATCATAGCAACCTAGTCAATGTAGATCAATTTGAGTCCAGTTCCTTAATGTATTTTGGCCATATGAACTTTCAGTTGACACTGTGGTAGGCAGTAACACCTCCTTTATCAACGTGGTTGCAGTGAATGTGTTTTTCATAGTGCATCTGTGTTTTCACTATCCTCTTGGCATGGCTGTTATTCTGAGTGGAGCTGTTCTGAACTGCAGAGTGAAAAGAAAACTTGGAATTAAGCAGAGTAGAGTTTAAACCCATCCTTTGCTTAGTGACCACAGACTAAACTTGCTAAGTCTTACTTGCCTTAAAGTCAGTGAGAAAGTCACTTGACTTTCTATGGCTAAAAAATTAATAAGTATGTTACTGTACATGGGATGATTGCTCACTTACGTGACTCTTGTTTTCTAGTTGCAGGCATGCGTCCACCAATAGGCATAAGAGAATACGCACCAGGTGTTCTGCCTGGGAAACGGGACCTGCCTGTTGATCCTCGGGAGTTTTTACCAGGGCATACACCATTTAGACCTCCAGGTTCACTTGGTCCAAGAGACTTCTTTATTCCTCCTGGTACTCGATTACCACCTCCAACTCATGGTCCTCAGGACTACCCACTACCACCACCTGCTGCAAGAGACTCACTGCCTTCTGGCCCAAGAGAGGAAGCCCCACCTGCTTCTCCAAGCAGTGCCCAGGACCATTCACAGGCTTCAAAACCCAGTCCCTAACTTTGACCTCTATCATGACTCAAGAGAGAAAGTGGACAGTGCATAATTCATTACAGCAAAGGATTTCATTGGCTTCAAAACCTAAAAGTTTATTTTAATTTTTTTTTTTTTTAGTACTAAGCTGCCTTGGCAGTCTGCATTTTTGAGCCAAACAAAAAATATTATTTTCCCTTCTAAGTAAAAATCACCTCTTAAGCTAGTATCCTTCCTACTTTGAAATGTGCAATAAAGAATACCTGTGTTTAGTTCATGTAGCATATGTAATTGCTAAATGATTTAGAATATCCTACAGTATGAACATTTCCTGTGGAAATGCTTTAAGAACACATATTTCCATGGCCTTGGTCTAGTGTGTGCCAGCTGACATGGAGCAAGGCATCAACAGCTCTATCTGTGTCTCAAAGACTGTTACGCTAAAAAAACGTTTACTCAAGGATCATAAACTCTCTCCCATTGCTAAAGTTCTTTGTAGTAATAGTTCATAAACTTTGTTTATTAATATTTTCCAAGTGTCTGCTGATTCTTTGGGTTGTTTTGAGACATGTAGCTGGGCTTCTGGAACTGCAGTGCTGAGTGTACACACTCCATGTGACATTGAGTTCTATAAGTCACCACTGAGCACTGTGAGACTCTTATTTAAGTAAGTCGTCAGCTCCGCCCATCCTGTTTCTGCTGACTACCTGTTTGGGAACGATTTTCTGAGTATGGTTTGCATTAGTATCAAGAATTATTTGGGGCTGGGTGTCATGGCGCACGCCTTTAATCCCAGCATCTGGGAGGCAGAGGCAGGTGGATCTTTGTGAGTTACAGGACAGCCAGTGCTACATAGAGCCTGTCTCAAAAACTGAGGGGGAGGGAGATTATGTAGGCCAGCAAGATGGCTCAGCAGGCACCTAACTGCCATGCCTGAAACTATTCTTGCACTAAGGGTGGATAACAAGATAAAAATCATGTGCCATGACTGTAAAACCATTTCTTTTTAGATATGTATATTCTATCCTCTCTCGCATCACCTTGCTGCTGACTTTCAAGAATATGACAAGAAACAATCAGGAAGGTACCAAGAGAACGAATAATGGCAAACTAGGAAACTCACCTATGTTTTCAGTACACAACTATGGGCTGAATTCAATTATATGGTTGTTTTGAGACAGAGTCTCATTTTGTAGCCCTGCCTGGCTTCAGACTCTCCTGTCTCAGTTTTTTAGAGGCTGGAATTTCAGGCTTGAGTCACCTTGCCTAGCTTAATTCTTTAACAGATTCTATTCCTAAATTAATCAAATATTGGTGCTTTTATTTATAAATCAGGTAAGTCTAGGAATCTGACACTGCATCATACATAAAGTCTTGTACCCCTTTTACACTGTCTTCAAAACAACTGGTTCAGACAATTTACTTAAAGTAACTAGCAGCACATTATATAAGAGCCTTACTATGTAAAGCCATAAAAGGTGAAAACTGTTTACTGTGACACTGTAGTCTCTGAAGTCCTGTGAAATCACGATATTGAAACCTAGGCCATATCATGCATGTTAACATTGTTGAGATGTTAAATCCATGGGGGATTTTGAAAAATGAGCAAAAGCTTCAATGTGAAAATCACCAACAACTGAAGACATAATATACAAAGACAGGCTCTACGAATGCAGGAAGTTCTAAGGGGCCTGCATGCCTTCCACTAAGAGCTTTGTCCCAATCTGGAATCACAGAAGATTTTATATCTATAAGAAAACGCCACAGGATAGTATATGTCATTAAAAAATTAATTTTTATTCTGTGCATATATGTTTTGCCAGCATGTATGTATGTATGTATGTATGTGTACCACATGTATGTCCCGTGCCCATGGGTCCAGAAGAGGGCACTAGATCCCCTATAACTGGAGTTACAGGCAGTTGTGGGCTACCATGTGGGTGTTGGGAATTGAACCCTGCCTGGTTCTCTAAAAGAACAGCTCTTTAAAAAAAATAATTTATTTATATTTTATTTGCATTGTATTTTGCCTGCATGTTTATCTGTGTGAGGGTGTTAGATCTTTGAGTTATAAACAGTTGTGAACTGCCATGTGGGTGCTAGAATTGAACCCAGGTCCCCTGGAAGAGCAGCCAGTGTTCTTAACCACTGAGCATCTCTAGCAAGTGCTCCAACCCCTGAACACCCCCTCTCTCTGTCTCTGTCTCTCCCTTTGAGACAGGGTTTCTTTGTGTGTCCTGGAACTCTGTAGACCAGGCTGACCTTCAACTCAGAGATCTGCCTGCCTCTGCCTCCCAGGAGCTGGGATTAAAGACATGTGCCACCACCACCGGCTCTGAATCGTCTCTTAAGCCACTAGCATATGCCATTTTTAAACCAAATATAAAAATAAGACTAAATTGCAAACACCATCTGAATGTATGTCAACTTCCTCAAGACAGAAAATAGTGAGGTTAATATAATTTCAAATTTTTGCTTTTTTTAAAAAAAAAGATAGGATCTCACCTATGTAGTTCAGTCTTTCTCTAACTTCATATCTTCCTGCCTCCGCTATCTAACCACCAAAGTTTAGATGGCATTTAAAGTAAGATTATACCAGCTAAGAAGACAAATAGTAAAGCTAATACCCACCCTCCCCCCTTTTAATTCAAAACTAGGATATTTCCCTCTAAAGCCCTTTGATTATCCTGTATAACATAAACATCATCAGCAAGATGTAGAGACATCTCCATGTAGCACATCTGGGCAGTTGTGAGCCTGCCTACCATTGCCTTCCCTCAGCCCCGTCCAACTGTACATCCTGTGCTACAAAAGCCCATGACAAGCTGTCAGCCTACAGATGGCACAGAGGACGTCATACCTCAGTTGAACCATTTTTCCATTTCAAAAGTTCCTGTTTGAGAAGCTGCCTCCAGCTAACTAACTGTGTTTCTGGGCTGAGCAGCTAACACTCGGTCTAGCAGCAGTAACTGAGCCTGAAAGCATTCCTGCTAGGACAAAGGAGATTGTGTAACAGTTTCTCCCACTACAATGGAAACTTGACTTGGCAAATGTGGAATGCTCAGTGCTAACTGCTTTAAGACAGTTGTGCCCTTCATGTCTGAATTAAACTGAGCTTATCACATGATGTTCCACTAAAGCTCTTTAACCCTGATGGCAGGCATCTCTGTAGTTCACATAAACATGCTTATGTAAAGGATCAGGGCTACAGCACAGAAAATGCCCACTTTGCTATTTGTCTTATGGTCTGTAAGAAAAGAGAAAGGACAATGTATAGTCTTTGCTACATTTTAATAATAGTAGGTTTTATGGGGTTAATTTTTAGGTCTAGTCAGCAACATCAGACAGAAGGTACTGAGTACTATCCACGGTACACAGTACTGACACAGGGTACAGAGTACTACCTAGGGTACTGATTACTCCCCAGGTACAGAGTACTGCCCAGGGTGCTGAGTACTCCCCAGGTACAGAGTACTACCCAGGGTGCTGATTACTCCCCAGGTACAGAGTACTGCTCGGCGTACTGAGTACTCCCCTGGTACAGAGTACTGCCTAGGGTACTGAGCATTCCCCAAGTACAGAGTACTGCCAAGTACCTTAGACCCTTCACATGTCCCAGAGATGTGGCTCTTGCCCCTTGAGGAGCTTACAGTCTTGGGATCCACAACTCAAAGTTTAGGAGTCGGACAATGAGTTAATTTAAGGCAAATTCTACATCCCTTAGAGCTACTGTAGACGGAATTATTTCAGCATTTGGAATTAATCTAATCAATATTAATTTGGTTGTGGATTCTTTTCATCCATCCAATAAACTGTGGCCTAGTAGGTGCTGAAAGCGAAGACTAGATCTCTTGAAGGGCAAGGCTAAAATATCACTGAGATTCCTTACTTGAAGAAGCAAATATTGAATGGTGTGGTGGAATTATACTACTTAAAAACAGGCCCAGTGTTGACAGTGCAGTCTCCTCATGCACTGCTCACTGAAAAGTGAATATTAAAATATGTGGGTTCTATGTCTCACCCACAGAAAGCCCCTCACAAATCTTAATGTTCTATGTAACAACATCATGTGCTCTCAAAGTCTTATTTTGCCTTGTTACATCAAAAGTAAATAGTCAATTTAAAATAAACTAATGACCTGCATATTTTCAAAAGGAATGAATGACTGTATATCTAAGTAGGAAATAAATGGCAATTATGTCTACCTATATTAAAAAAAATAAACTATCTTTCCAGATTTTGCATACTAAGGAGAGGTATGCGGTCTTAAGGTCTCACAATGGGTTGTCAGGAAAGCAGCAGTTATCCGCAGTATCTTAACATCTAACCCAACTCTCCCGAAATGATGCAGTTTAAAAGATATTGTAAACACATTTAAAGACCTGGAGTTGTTCTGAGATGGTTCCAACGTTAACCCTAAAAATCTACCAGGAAGAAGAGCAGAATGACAGAGAAGAGCAGATAGTCCACCTGACTATACACGTGCTCACTTCAGGAAAACAATCTGGTCATCCGGGGAACACCCCACGTGGGATTTTCATCTGGCCAGGGCACACTTTCCATGCAGGAGATCTATGGCATTCGGCTAGGCCACTTGTAAAGAGTACCTATAAGCTTCCAGACAAACTTTTCTGGGCAATGTAGCTAGTCCAATTCCTCTCAGAGCAATTCTACCCACCTCAACTCAGAGTGTGACATTCAAGCCAGAAGAGCATACTGGAGGAAAAGCGAGCAGAAATGTAAACTCTAGCACATTCTTATTGCTGCATTGTCTGAAGTTCAGCACATCGACCACAACAGTACTGTCTGGGAAGTAGGGGGCAAGTAGTGGTGATGAGAAAATAGACAATTAATTGCACAATTAATAGAAAAGTAAAAATGTTTCAAAATCTACAATAAACCTGTATCCAAAGGATAGGTCAGTGATGTGCTGAACTTTTGAGTTCGGGGGTCCGGCTTTGCAACAGACTTGTGGGCCAGTTGGCATGGGTAGGGCTCAATTGCTGCCTGTGAAGAGTGATATGCTACACGGATTTATGATGGTTTCGGAGTGGTAAAATTCACACAAGTTCCAGGTTATTTGTATCAGGATCATTCCTTGTGCAAAGTTTGATGTAGATGAAGATAAAGTGGTTTCTTGGTCAATAATTGTAATTTTTTTCTTTTAAAGTCAGTGGGTTTCTTGTATCTGGAACCACAACAGAAAAAAATTATTGTTTAAAATACTGATTGACCCCCAAATTCCATTTTCCATGCCCAAAACTTACAATTCTATTACAATTGGCCCAGGTTTAATTTCATCCATCTCCATGAAAGCAAAACACTTGGTGCTGGTAAACCTCTTTTTAGGCTTGTAATGTTTGAACTCAAAGAAGATGGCCGCACCTGTGAAATTGAAAGATACATAATCCATAGGCAGCACCTTCTATGTTAATTAGCTTTCTTTCCTCACCAGAAATATATAAACAAGGAATGGTCTATGTAAGCCACAAAGTAACCTTCCAGTATGCCAAGGTATCCCAACTTTTTCT